GATCCCTCAGGGGAAGAACTTTTCTCTTTTATAATCCTGGATTGATTCTAGCTGTGTACACTGTGGGTGCTCAATAAATGTTGATTGACCAAGTAAACAATGTACTTAGTCCCCTGGAGTGTCATACTCTTTCTTTCCACAGGAAGAAAGTAATAACATTAGGCAGAGCAGGCTGATCTCTTAATGTGATTACCTGGGATTTGTGGACTGGGGACTCTTTTCCCCAATTTTGTTGGATACATTCATCTCTCCACAGAAGTTCCCCAACAGACACCACTCATGCCGCCGGCCAAACGGCGGCCACCACTGATTGCCTTGACACCCCACCCCCCTCCCCGGCTTAATCTTGATTCCATCAGAGCTAAAGTTGCTGCTTCCAGCCCAAGATAGGAGAGAACTCATGGTAGTACTGAGATGAGCAAAATTTACCCGTCCCACAGTGAACTTGATCTTGTATTTGAGGTATCCTCTGTGAGCCCATGTATAGAACCTTTTATTTTCTTTTAAATTTTGTTATTTTTAGCTGGGTGTGGTGGCGCACGCCTTTAATCCCAGTACTTGGGAGGCAGAGGCAGGCAGATCTCTGTGAGTTCAAGGCCAGCCTGGTCTACATAGTGAGTTTCAGGCCAGCTGGGGCTACAGGGAGATCCTGTCTCAAAAAGACCAAAAACAATTTTTAAAAAAAATTTTTATTTTGTGTGTATGAGTGTATTGCCTACAAGCATGTAAGAAGTGCACCTGTGCTGTGTAATGCCCAAAGAGGTCAGTAGAGAGAGTGTTGGATTCCCCTGGAACTGGAGTTACTGATGGTTGTTAGCTGATGTGTGGGTGCTGGGAATCGAACCCGGGTCCTCTGCAAGAACCACCAGTGCTCTTAACTCCAGTTTGGTTCCCAGCACCCACATGGCAGCTAACAACCATCAATAACTCCAGTTCCAAAGGATTCAAACCTCTTTTCTGGCCTCTTCAGGCATTGCATGCATGCGGTATACTTATATACATGTGGGCAAAACAGTCACACACATAAATACTTTTTAAAAATAAAAAATATTTGACATTTACATAGCATAAAGTATAATCAGTGTTTCTGTTAGTATATTCAGAGTTGTAGAACCATTTCACAATCACTTTTCTTGCTTTTTTCTTTTCCTCCCCTTCTCTTCCCACCTCCTCTGTCTTTTGGTGTTTTTAAAATGGAGTCTTGCTATGTTGCCCTGGCTGGCCTTGCACTCACTATTTAGGTCAAAAAACTAGTGGCAATTCTCTTGTTCCAGCTTCCTGAGTGCTGGGGTCATAGGAATGTGCTACCACACCCAGCTTTACATTTTCCCTCCCCCCACAAAACAAACTGCATACTTACTGGGTCACCTCTAATTTCCCCGTAGCTCTAGGATATAGTCTATATTGTTTCTACAGATTTGCTTATTCTGGATATTTCAATATATAGAATTAGACAACACATGGCTGTGACTGGCATCTTTCACACAACATACTTTCAAGGTTTGTCTGTGTTGTGACATCTATCAGCACTTAATTTTTATTTCCAATTGTTTGGCTATGCTATATTTTATCAATTCACCAGCTGATGGACATGTTTTTTTAAAAAATATTTTTTTATTTTATATGTATATTGCCTGCATGTAGGTAGGTGCACCCGTCATGCAATGCCCAAGGAGGTCAGAAGAGGCGCTGGATCCCCTGGAACTGGAGTTACAGACAGTTGTTAAATGCCATGTGGGTGCTGGGAATCAAACCTGGGTCCTTGCTAAGAAGAGCAGTCAGTACTCTTAACTGTTGAGCTAGCTCTCCAGCCCCTGGACATGTGAGTTGTTTTCACTTTGGGCAAGTTTTTTTTTTTTTTTTTACAGTTCTTAACTGCTGGGCCATCTCTCCAGTCCCTTTTTTTGGGTGTTTTTGAGACAGGGTCTCCCTGTAGCCCCAGCTGGCCTCAATCTCAGAGAGGCCTGCCTCTGCCTCTCAAGTGCTGGGACTAAAGGCGTGCACTACCATGGCCACCTTGGAATACGTTCTAAACTATAAATTTTATCAATGCAAAAACATCTGAATGTTTAATGTTGATGCAGTCAGCTAAGGAAGGCATTCAGGTCTGAGTAACTTCCCTGAGCATACAGTCTGTTGTTGGTTAACTCAGGACAACTAAGTAACTATGTGAGTGTCTCTGGGCATCATCTCTATGTAGGATCCTTTTTGCTTCTTTTCTAGATAATGGGCTGCATCTCTTAGCCCTGGCTTGTCAGCTGATTCATACTTGTTGCTAGGAGACAAGGTTAGCTCAAATCACTCAGATTACAGAACGACTGGCATAGGAACACTTGGAACACTTTATCCCAATATTCAGCAAGATCAAGGAAAAGGTTGAAGCTGTAGCTATTCCTCAGCCTGGGTTTACCAAACATCTTGCCAACTTTCTTTTTTCTGACTTTAGGCCAGCTTTCATTTTCTTTTGCTGGTGCTGGGGATCAAACCAAGGGTCTTATGCATGCACTCTACTATGGAGCTACATTTATAGCCCTTGTTTTTTTTTTTTTTTTAAAATATGTGTATTGTCTGCATGCAGGTAAGTGCACCCATGTTGTGCAATGCCTGTGGAGGTCAGAAGAGGCTGCCGGATCCCCAGGACTGGAGTTACGGACAGTTGTTAGCTGCCATGTGGGTGCGGGTTTTTGAACCGAGGTCTTCTGCAAGAACAACTAGTGTTCTTAACCACTGAGAAATCTCTCCAGCCCAGCCCTTGGTTTTTTGAGACAGGGTTGTCTTACATATCTCGGGCTGTGATCCCCCTGCCTCAGCCTCCAGAGTGCTGAGATTAGAGGTGTGCACCATCATCCCTGGCTTAAGGCTGGCTCTCTTTCACCACTCAGATTTACCAGGGTGACTTTTCCCACATGTCATCAAGAACATGTAATAAGGCAATGAGAAAAGATTGTAACAGGAGAGAAAATGAACTAAGAAGGAAAATCTATTCCCGTAGATTTTAGAAATCCAATTGAGATGAAAATTTTTTGCTCCAGTATCTCTGACAGTTTTGCAGGTATCTCACAAGGATGAAATCCGTGGGTGCCCAGGGGATTGGGAAGGCTGGGTGGGCAGTGGGTTATTTAAGAATGATTGTCTCCTTGACCATAGTAGTTGCCTGGAGCATAATTCCCCCTTCCCAGCCTTGGCCAGAGCAGCTGGGCATAATGAACAGTGTTTAAAGATGCTTTGTTTTACACCCAGCAAAAAGGATCATTAACACCTCACCAAGCCTGTGGAAGGGCTCCTGCTGCTGTTGATAATCATGGGAACCCTCAGGGTATCAGGAGCAAAGAGGTGGGTAATTCACCAGAAAATGGCATTCACTGACTTGGATTATATGCATCACTGCTCCTCTCCATTTGTGTGCTTAATTAAGAGCCGACTAGTACAAAATAAATGAAAGCCCAGTTCTTCACTAGAACTATCTGGGGAGCCACAGAAATTCTGCAGGGATGAGGGAGATGCATTGGAAAGACTTCATTTCCATTTCCCCATTTCCATTTCCTATTGTGGACTTAGGTTCATGGCACATCTGATTCTTAAGGGGACAAAAAGCTCATGAGAGCAAAAGATCTCTTACTGAAATAATGATTAGGAGAACGAAAGGTGTAGTTTATGTTCATTTTGTCATGGAGAAATCAGAGTTGTGATGAGGGCCGTAGTTTGTCTAGCAGGCATGTCAACCTGTGGTCACACAAGGCTGAAGGCAGCCATGACTGTAGCCAAACACAAAACTATAATCTTATTTAACACATTTAATTTGGTAATGTGATTGCGTGGTTGTCAACTGAACTTTGTAGATGATAACTTAGTGTCACAATATCAATATCAAAAGAATGACTGCTGGAGGAGAGTCAGTTTTCTTCAGGGAAGCAGCCCCCAAAAGGGCACCCATGATCCAGTAGGAGGTCCTAACACTGATGCCCATAAAGTAAAAAGGGGAAAAAAAAAAAAAAAAAAAAAAAAAAGCACACGAAGTCAAGAGGAAAAAGCAGGGGCGGGGGATGGGGAGTAACTGGAGGGAAGATGGGGGGTGAATTTGATTAAAACACATTCATATGCATGTATGACATTTTCAAACAATAAATAAATAAGACTGGACACACCTGGTAGGGTGTATACTCCAGTCACATTAGAAAGCTCTAGGAGTGAAGAACTAGATTTGCCTCAATGTTATGCATGACATCATTCATTCAAAAGTTTTTATAAGTCTCTACAGTGACCAGCTGTTTGATTGCCTAGGAGTCAATTCAGTTTGTTTGCTCCCCCAAGGAAGAGAAAATAAAATTGTTTTTTTAAAAAATTTTATTTATTTTTATGTGTGTGCGTGTATTGCCTGCATATAGGTAAGTGCACCTGTGTCCTGCAATGCCTGTAGAGGTCAGAAGAGGCTGTTGGATCCTCTGGGACTGGAGTTATGGACAATTGTTAGCTGTCATGTGGGTGCTGGGATTCTAACCTGGGTCTTCTGCAAGAATAAACAGTGTTCTTAACTGCTGAGCCCTCTATCCGGCCCCAAAATTGCTTTCTTAATTGTTTACTTAGCAGATCTGGAAAGAAGGCATTGATGACTCAGGTTGTCACATTTGGCAGCAATTGCTTTTAGCTACTGAGCTATCTTATCATCTTTTAAAATTTTTTTTTGGTTTTATTATCTGTTTTTGAAAAAAGAATAATTAAATTTGAATAGTAAAGAGATTAACAATAGTCTCATTCTGACATCCATATAGTTTCTAACAACTTCTGACTAGTCATTAAGAGACTTACAGCCTGGGAATGGTGGCTCAGGCCTATAATCTTAACACTTGGGAACTTGATATAGCAGGATTGTTAAGAGTTCCAGGCCAGCCTGGGCTACACAATGAATTCCAGGCCAGCCTGACTTGTAGAATGGGACACTGAATTAAAAAAAAAATGTACAATAATGTTATGTGCATAGAAAAGGACACAGAATGCCAATCAGAGGTTCCTAGAGAGAAAGAAGGCTTTCTTCCTGTTTTTCTTAGTTTATTTTGAGACAGTCTTACTCTATAGCACAAGCTGGCTTTGAACACAATCCTCTTGCTTTAGGCTCCCAGCTGCAACATTATATCTTGCTAGAAAGAGGCTTTTTGTGAGTGAAATTTTTCTGTATTAAGGATCAGGACTAAGATGCTTCTTTTAGGAACTGACAGATGAAGAAGAGAAATCTTTGGCATTCAAATTAAGAGTCTGAATTCTTTGCTGTGCCATTTTGTGCTAGTTTATTGCAACTGGTTGAAGAAAGGACTGAGGAGTATGAAGAAATTCTCAGTATCTGGTCTGTTGCTATTCTTGGGGTTAAGACTGAGCACAAATACACACAAGGCCTGACCTTGAATGCAATGGGACAACTTGGAAGGCAATCACTTAGTGTCAAGTCAGGCTGTCGTGACTTCCATCCTGGGCCTTTGTATTGGAGTCCCGAGGAAGAACGGCACTGTAGGTAAGAGGCCAAGTAGGCTAGTTAAATGACTTAGGTGGGCACCACAAGGGTGGAAGTAGAAGCAGTCAACACTATCCTACAGACGGGATGTGACTCCACCTGTACAGATAGCAGAGCTAAGGAAATTCCTAATGATTTCTGGGTAGCTGGGCTTCTTTGCTTATATAACGTATAGTAGAAACTACATCTTCTACACTATGAAATCTGTATATGGCATAGATCCAACAGGCTGGGAAATTAGAGAGAGTGGCAGAACACGTGGTCATCAAAGATTTGCTTCTCTCTTGCTGGGAAGGCCTTGTCACAAATTGGACAATTCAGAAAACAGGTCTGCATGTGCTGCTGCTCCAAGGTGTGATCACAGATTCCATCAAAGTCTGACATGCAGATGAGGCATTTCTTGATGGAAAGTTGGAAGAACAGAGGTTAGTACAAATGTGAGCTTTGTGTCACAGACATGTCCCCATCTTGCTTTCCACTGTACTCTTATGGCATAATGATTGGCACATGAAAGGAGCTGAAGAAACTGAATGAACAGATTCACATTTGGAGATGATCCCTGGGGCTTTTTCTAACCCCAGGATTGAAAGAACTTAATATCCCCAAAGCAGTCAATGTAGCTCCAGGCTGGAAGGGGTACCGGCCAGGCCTTGCTTGGTTAGCTGCCTAGATCACATCTCCCAAGTCACACTCAGAGGCTGAGACCTGGAGCAGAATGGGAATGGATGGGCAGCTTTTCTTCTCACCTCAACAGGTTGCTCCAGCCTTGGGCCCAGAACAAACTGATCCAGCTGACTTCTGCGTTATCAAAATGAACCACTTTCCCTATGGTTCTCCCATGAATTGGAGCAGGAGTGGCAATTTTCTCGAGGACTTTATATGAAAAATCTTTTTTTTTTGTCTTTTTGAGACAGGGTCTCCCTGTAGCCCGAGCTGTCCTAGAACTCACTATGTAGACCAGGCTGGCCTTGAACTCACAGAGATCTGCCTGCCTCTGCCTCCCAAGTGCTGGGGCTACAGGTGTGCACCACCACGCCTGGCTATATGAAAAAAATCTTAAGAATCAAGTACTTACTGGTCTAGGAGCAGAACTTTCTTGGATACCTGAGGGGAATAAAAAGGATTTCACCTGATGAAAAAAACAGCATGTGTGGATTCGAGTAGAAACTTTCTGCAACCTTCACTGTCCCCTCCACTGCACTTGATTCTGTCTCATATATACCACTTATTTCTGATAGATGGGATCTGGGTCAATGATAGATAGGAAAGAATAAAAATTAAGAGAACGCAATTTTCAATAACCAGGTTGTATGTCATATAATGAGAAACAAAACAAAACAGTAAACTGGGGATACAGGAGAGAAGTGGAGAACGATCAACAGAATGAAACCTATTACTTGGTATGTCAGTAAGGGAAAAAAAAGCAAAAAACAAAGCTAAGGAGGATGATCTCTGTGAGTCTTGTGGTCAGCCTAGTGAGTTTCAGGCTAGCCAGGGCTCATAGTGAGACCCAATCTCCAAAGCCTGGAGAAATGGATCAGAGATTAAGAGCACTGGGTGCTCCTGCAGAGGATCTGGGTTCAAGTCCCAGCATCCACACAGCAGCTAACAACCGTGTAACTCTAGTTCCAGGGATCCAATGCCCTCTTCTGACCTCTGTGGGCATCACATGACAGAGGTGCACTTACATACATGCAGGCAATACACTCATACACATAAAATAAAAATAATAAATGAAAAAAAAATACAAAACATTCCTCCCCTCCAAACCAACCCAAAACTAATGAGAAAAAGAAAAGAAGGAAAAGAACAATAACCCTATTTTCGTAGTGAGGAAATGTGAGATTTAGGCCCACAGAGATAGACCCCTGTGGAGCTGGAGTTATAGGTAGCTGTGAGTCACCCAATGTGGGTATGGGGAACTGAACTCAGGTCCTCTGCAAGAGCAGTACATGCTCTTATAACTGCTAAGTCATCTGTCTAGCCCCTAAGAAGAGATTTTAAGAGCCAGCAAGATAGCTCAGTAGGTAAAGGTGCTTGCCGCCAAGCCTGATAGGAACTTACATGGTCAAAGGACAGAATCAGTTCCTGCCAGTTGTCCTCTGATCTCCACATGCATGCTTTGGGATGTACACATTTTACTTTTCAATAAATAAGTAAATGTAATAGAAAAATTTAAAGGCTGGAAACATGGCTTAGCAGTTCAGAGCACTGGCTGCTCTTCCAGAGGACCTGGGTTCAGTTCACAGCACCCACATGGTAGCTAATAACTGTCCATAACTCTAGTTCCAGGGGATCCGACACCCTCTTCTGACCTCTGGGAGCAATACACGACATGGGTGCACTTACACACATGCATTATACTTATACACATGAAATAAAATTATAAAAATGAAAGCTGGGCGTGGTGGCGCACACCTGTAGTCCCAGCACTTGGGAGGCAGAGGCTGGCGGATATCTATGAGTTCAAGGCCAGCCTGGTCTACATAGTGAGTTCCAGGACAGCTGGGGCTACAGGGAGACCCTGTCTCAAAAACATCCCCCCCTCAAAAGAAAAAAAAAAAGAATGAGGGTCTGAGGATGTAGCTCAATTGGTACAGACAGTTGTGATCTACTACGTGGGTGCTGGGAACAAAACCTGGGTCCTCTGCAAGAGCAGCCTGTGCTCTTAGCCAATGAACTATCTCTCTAAACCCAGGTTTCTCTGGCTACACTGGCTGGCCAGCAAGCTCCCGGGGTGCTTTTCCTCTAATCAGTGCTGGGGTTAGAGGTTATGTGGAGCTATGGCACTTTTTACATGGGTACTAGGGATCTGAACTCTGGTCCTCATGCTTGTGCAATAAGCACTTGACCCATTGAGCCATCTCTCTAACCCTAGCCTTTTACTTATATTCTTTTCTGTTGAAGTTGCCATGTTGTAAGAGTAAGAAAGAATACAAAAGTGTTGCAAATTTTTTTATTTTTTTGTATTTTTTGAGACAGCGTCTCCCTGTAGCCCTAGCTGGCCTGGAACTCACTATGTAGACCAGGCTGACCTTGAACTCACAGAGGTCCACCTGCCTCTGCTTCCTGAGTGCTGGAATTAAAGGTGTGTACCACCATGCCCTGCTTCAAATATTTTTAAACAAAAAGTAAACCTTGGGCTGGAGTGATGGCTCATGGGTTAAGAACATTAGCTGCTCTTGCAGAGGACCAGGGTTTAGTTCTCAGCACCTATATGGCAACTAACAACTATTCATAACTCCAGTTCCAGGGGATCTGATACCTTCTGGCCTCCGTAGGCATTGCATGCATGGGTGTACTTAACACACATGCAGGTAAAGCACTCATAAACATAAAAACAAATAAAAGCAAAACTAAACTATCCCTGTCTATTGCAAAGATCTGGCTGGAACTTTTTGTTTTTTTTTCCTTAAGATTTTATTTACTTTTTAAAATTAAATGTATATGTGTGTCTGTTTGGGTAATGTGCACATGTGTGCTGGCAGAGATGTTAGTCCTTAGGGGTTCAAGGTTATTCTCTACTGCATAATCCGAGTTCCATGAGACACTCTCAAAATAAGATGAAATAATAAAATGAAGTATAAAATAAAACATTGATCTGAATAATGAAGTCTTACTGAACTCATGTACTCGTCCTAACAGTTTTGTACCCTGTGCCTCAGAATTTCTATGTAGTGGGCTGTATCTACAAATGGAGATAGTTTTGATTTTTTTATTTCCAATTTAGATGTTTTTCATTTTCCAAAAGTGGTGAGAGCTGGGTGTGGTGGTGCACACCTTTAGTCTCAGCAGTCAGGAGACAGAGGCAGGTGAATCTCTGAGTTTGAAATAGTAATAATAATAATAATTTAAAAAAAACCCAGCCGTCTATGCTGTGATTTCTAGGCCAGTCACAGATATAGAGTGAGATTCTGTCGTTTAAAAAATGGTGAGAAACTATCTTGCTTCTGATCCTAGAAAGCATATAGTGTTGGCTGCAAGGTTTTATAGGTAATCCTTTATTAGAATGAGGAAGTCTTTTTTTGTGGGGGGGGTTTATTTTTGTATTTTTATTTTATTTATTTATTTTTGTCTTTTTGAGACAGGGTCTCCCTGTAGCCCCAGCTGGCCTGGAACTCACTTTGTAGACCAGGATGGCCTCGAACTCACAGAGAACCGCCTGCCTCTGCCTCCAGGGTGCTGGGATTACAGGCGTATTGGCTGGAACTTTTAAGAAAACATTACTGCTTTAAACCATTAAAAAAAATGAGGTCTCACGTTGTTTTTGGAGATAAAAAGAAAAGCTCCCCATTTGGAAGGACATGTTATTCCAAGTCCTTGAGAAAGCATTTCCATCCCCATTTCCTACCCTACCAGTGAGTCTCAGTGGAACACTCCGTTACCCTTAAGTAGGCCATCAAGGGGGCTGCTGCAACTATGGGTTTCTGGGAGGCATAACTTGCCTCTAGTGCTTACATTTCCAAACCTTAATTAACTTCCTCTGCTTTGTATGTGTGCATCTTCTACACAGACATTTCTCTGATTTATACATCTGGAGGATAGCCACGGGACTCAATTTGTGTCTGCCGCCTCTAGGTGAATGATATGATTTGCGTCTTCTGGATTCAGATTTATTTCTCAATTAATACTTTTTGCCTGGCAATTTTTCTTTCTGTTGGGTCCTCAGCTTCTGCCCAGCAAGTCTTAACAATGAGACTAGCTTTAATTAGCATCTCAAACACATATATACACACACAAATTAGTGGGGGAAAGGGATGCTGGCAAGGCCCTTCTAGCTAGAATATGAAAGTTGTCTTACCGGTATATGGATTTCCATAGACAAGGCCTGGATTTTGCCTAGCATCTCCTTGATCTGAAGGAGGCACTTGATACATCAAAGAGTCGACATCAAGACCCATGTAACTCAGCAATCTGTTGTTTTCCTTCTTCAAGAGCTAAGGATAGATTTATAGACATGTTGAAAGACAACCACAAAGAATGTCCACTGGGAACTGGGTAATGTCCACTAAGGTAGTGCCCAATGAGCAGTGTGGCATTGGGGAAGCAAAATAAGTGATAATTCACAACTCTTAAAGTTGTATATGAATGTAAATATATTTACTGAATTTGTGTAATTTTTATTTATTATTTTTGTGTATATGATGGGGGGTGGGTACATGACCAGAGTGTGAGTGTGGAAGTCACAGGACAGCTCTGTGGAGCTGGTTCTTTTCACACACCTTTATGTGTGTTCTGGAGATTGAACTCAGGTTGTTAGGTACTTTACCTACTGAGCCATCTCACTGGCTGTGAGGATGTGTTTTTGAGCTAGCACCTTTCTGTGTGCTCCAGGCTGACCTGAAACTTGTGATCCTCCTGCTTCAAACCCCAAGTGCTGGGATCACAGGTATGTACCATCACTTCCACCTGAATTTTGTTTATTTAACACAAAGAATTCTAAGTTGCTAATATATCTCAGCTGAAAAGGGAGTATAAAAGTTGTTTGGATAGCTGAGTTGTTTTGGACATAGGAAGGTGGTAAGAGCCAAAATGAAATTGGTAATGTTCTTATTTTATTGAGATCAGAATGCGCCTTTTAATTTTCTTCTTAGAATAATTTCTTTACATAATATAAATATTCATGTGGCAAAAACTTTCCTTCTTCATGACAAATGCCTTGACCCATCTTGCTGGCTCATTGTTTTTGTTTATCTGATGCTGGGTCTCATGTAACTCAGGTAACTCAGGCTGTCACTGAACTTGATATATAGCTCAGGCTGGCTTTCAATTCCTGGTTCTCCTGCTTCTATCTCCAGAGTGCTTAGATTACAGGCATGTATCACCATGTTTGGCTTTTTAACTACAGTTCTGAACAAAATATCCAAATACCAGATCTCTTTCTTGGTGGTGTAAATTGTGTTATATAACTTGCCCCCAACCATCTGTCTAATCTAGAAAAATTCTTTTTCAAGCTCAAGGTACACTTATCTAAATCAGGCATCTGAAGATGAGAAACCAGAAATAGACCCCAAAAGGCCTTCTGCAATCCTGAAACACGTTGGCATAAGTTATAAAACCAACACCAAAAATTATCAAGGGGACTTACTATTTAGTGTATGCGAAATTTCAACTAAAAAGCTTCTGGAGATGTGAGAACCATGTGAACACCCAACAGCTCTGAGCTGTGCACTATAAGACGGGGCGTTCTCTGAGCTGTGCACTGTAAGACAGGACGCTCTGCTACATGAGGTTTATTTTTGTGTTTGTTATTGGCATTTTATTTTGTGTATTTACCCACAATTTTTGTCTTTTTTTGGTCTTTTTGAGACAGGGTCTCCCTGTAGCCTCAGCTGTCCCAGAGATCCGCCTGCCTCTGCCTCCCAAGTGCTGGGATTAAAGGCGTGTACCACCATACCCGGCCACAATTTTTTATAAAGGGGGAAAAAAAGTGGAAATGATCATTTGGGGCATAGCCTAGATGGGTTACAGGAAGGGTGGGGACGGAGCACTTGTAGAGATGTGGATCTAGAAGAATGAAGCAGAAGGCAAGGGCAGCTGGCGCTCTGACGCGAGGCATGCAATGACCTTAAGTGGGTGTGGTGACCTTAAGTGCAGTTTGATGTGCTGTGATCACCTTCAGTCAGTCAGTCACACTCAAGTGTTAGAATGGACTGATGATAAATACTGGAGAGGAGCAAATGAGTGCACAACAGTTACTGGGACTTTTATTAGCCATGCCTGGCGAGGCTGCTGCTTATAAGATGACTACTGCCCATGCCATGTAAGTTTAAGTAGAAGACAGGGTTTTATGTGCCAGACATGGTGTTTGTATCCCAGTACTTGGGAGGCAGAGGCAGCAGGATTGCTTCCAGTTTGACGCCAGGCTACATAGGGACTACGGGAATTCCAGGCCAGCCTGGGTTACACAGTACTACCCTGTCTCAAAACATCAAAAAAAAAAAAAATAGCTGTGGTTATAGTTGGCAGAGTACTTGCCTAGCATGCAAAAACCTCCCTGGGTTCGATCCCCCGCACCACATAAACCAAGTGTGGTGATGAACACCTGTAGTCTCAGCACTTAGCATGTGAAAATCAGAGGATCATGAGTTCAAGGTCATCTCAGCTCTACAGAGAGTTTGGGACCAGTGTGGGCTACATAAGACCCTGTCTTAAGAACAACAACAAAAACAATCCCAGGATTTTATGATAGATTAGAAAACTGGAGCTAGGTGTGATGGCACATGCCTTTAATCCCAGCCCTTGGAAGGCAGAGGCTGGCAGGATCTCTGTGAGTTTGAGGCCAGCCTGATCTACAAAGTGAGTTTCAGACCAGCTGGGGCTACAGGGAGACCCTGTCTCAAAAAGACAACAACAACAACAACAACTGGATTAAATTTACTATTTTGTTTAGGAATAACTATTTCATCCAGAAAGAGCCCTTTACAGGCCAGACTGTCCTCAATTTCCTCAATTTCCAAGATTCATCTGCCTTCCAAGTGCTAGGATTAAAGGCATATACCATGCCCAACCCCTTTTTGTTATTGTGTTTGTTTGTTTGTTTGGGATGGTCTCACTCTATAGTCCAGGTTGGCCTAAAACTGACTCTGTAGCCCAGACTGGTCTCAAACTTGAGGTGATCCTCCTGCCTTAGCCTCCCAGCTGCTGGGATTACAGGCAGGAGCTACTGTGCCCAGCCCTTCTCTTTAGAATCCTGGGATTTTCTACCTTCTTCACACACTTACATCATTTTCTTTTTCTAGTCTCTCTTTCTCTCTCTTCAGAACATCACATATAATCTTGTTGTCACTCAGTCTTCTCGACAGGTCAAAGTTCTCATCCTGTTAACAGTAAGAAATTAGAATGAGCATCATATACTGCAATGTAGCCCCAAAGTGGGAGTTTGCAGAGGATCTGGTTTTCCAAAGGGGTAGGACTGAGGTTGGGGAGAAAGGAAGTCAGAAGGAATGGTACTGTGGACAGGATGTTGCTTACAGTGACTTAACCAAATGCTAGAAAGCCTGAGCTGGCATGAAGATGCCAAGGTGTTTTGGGTTTCACTGGCATTGTGAGTAACCAAAGAAAAAGTAAGCTTGGGGAAACCTTAAGATTGACATAACCTCACTCCACGGAGCCTGGAGCCCAAGGCACTTAGGTTTAGGTTGGATTCCCTCCCAGTGTGAGCACAGGCATAAGGTCTCAAGTTACACAGGGAACCCAGACTGGGGTCTTGAGCTTCCCACAAAGTCAGGGTGACTCAACTAGTTTCATACTTCTGTATTTCCTATCTCCTGCTTGTACTCATACACATGCACATGTCTCACAAACACACCTCAGCTAATTGTACTAGTTGAGGTTTGTTCCATGATTTTTTATTTGAATGCTGGTGTCCAAACTGCTGTGCACTTCTAGAAGACCCTGAGGTAATGCGAGAGGTGTACTGAACTTAACCTGTAAGTTGTTAATTTGAAAACTTTGCCCTATTCTTTACCATGTCAAAAGAGTCTTATTTGTGTATGTTTTAAAGATCTGTTTTTATTGATGTATATGTGTGTAAGTCTGCATGAATTTATGTGCTCCACATGTGTTCAGGAATCCAAGGAGGCCAGAAGAGGACACTGGAATTACAGGTGGTTGTGTGCCATCATCTGGGTGCTGGGAACTGAACCTGGGTCCTCTGCAAGAGAAGTCAGTGCTCTTAACCTCTGAATCATCTTTCCAGCCCTTATTTGTGCTTTTTGAGACAGGTTTTCATGTACTGCAGGATGGTTTCAAACTTATTATGTAGGTAAGGAAGACCTTGAATTCCTGGTCCTCCTGCCTCCACCTCCCAAGTGCTGGGATTATAGGGATGAACTACTGTATGGCAAACATACAGTATCTTTTCTATTGTCGGTTCTCAAGAACTGACTACGATGGCTGAATGAGTGATGCATCTGTGAGATGAGACGCAGTCCAATAGTCGGATAACATTCAGACATCAGAATTCTTGCGTGTTTACAGATTCAGAAAACAAAGCTTTCAGGTACCTGTCAGCATCATGAGGCCTCTTTATTTATTTTATTTATTTATTTTTTGGTCTTTTTGAGACAGGGTCTCCCTGTAGCCCCAGCTGTCCTGGAACTTACTATGTAGACCAGGCTGGCCTTGAACTCACAGAGATCCGCCTGCCTCTGCCTCCCGAGTACTGGGATTAAAGGCGTGTGCCACCACACCCGGTGAGGCCTCTTTTTTTTTAACAACATAATACAGGAAATTATTAATTAGGCTTTCTTTACTATACAACTGTAACTCAGAATGATTTATACTAATGATAATTTCTTTTCTTTTTTTGATCTCCTGTAGCCCTAGCTGGCCTGGAACTGGCTATGTAGACCAAACTGGCCTCAAACTCAGAGATCCACCTGCTTCTGCCTCCTGAGTGCTGGGACTAAAGGTGTGTGCCACCATGCCCAGCACTAATACTTCTAACATTAATTATAACAAAATTGGCATTGAGTGTTACAATTTCCTGTTGTATAGCTCTTTCCAGCCATTAATTTGTTTGTCATACAATAACTCTATAGTGATCAGGGGTTATTTGCATTGTTCCTAACCCAAGGATCTATATGTCACAATCTGTCATTATATTTAACTTTCAGTATCCCTTTATCACTTATCACATATTAGACATGTCCACCTTTCTGAAACATCTTTTAAATGGCAGATTCTCTGTCCTTTTGGATAGCAGGTAAAACATCCAGAGGTGAGCTCTATTCTAATCTGTCTTATTTATTCTCTCCATTACCGTAAAATGACCTTCATCCCCCCTTCTTTAGGCTCCCTCCCACATAGCCATGCAAAGATAGACGTGCCATTAACTCCTGCTTTTTCTTCATTGTGGTACTTTCTTTCTGCTTCATCTTTTCCACTGTTTGCTCGAGATTCTTCTGTTGCTCCTTCTGCACAAAAACAGATTTCAGTGCCACTGCTGGGAAAATGAACACATGCCCGAACACATGCCCTTATATACACATACACATACACACACACACACACACACACACACACACACACACACACACACTCTCTGACACCTGTTAAACTCATGAGCAAGCAGGAAGAGGTAAGATTTTTAGTTACTGAATAAAACCATGATATAACCTACTATAACTTGGCTTTTTTTTTGGTGGGGGGAGACAGGGTCTCCCTGTAGCCCCAGCTGTCCTGGAACTCCTTATATAGACCAGGCTGGCCTCAATCTCAGAGAGAACTGCCTGCCTTTGCCTCTCAAGCACTGGGATTAAAATTAAAGATGCACACCTGGCTATAACTAAACTTTTTTGAGCTGGGTGTGGTGGCATACACCTTTAATCCCAGCACTTGGGAGGCAGAGGCAGGCAGATCTCTGACTTCAAGGCCAGTCAGAGATACACAAGTGATCCTGTTTCAAGGAAAAAAAAAAAAAGATGGTGGCTTCTTTTGAGACCTTTCCTAGAGTCAGTAAAGAAAGCACAATTTTGGGGGTGGAGAGATGGCTCAGCAGTTAAGAGCAGTGGCTATTCTTGCAGAAGATTGGGGTTCAAATCCCAGCATCCACAAGTTGGCTATCCAATGCTCTCTTTTGTCTCCCTCAGGCACTGCATGACATGGGTGCACTAACACACATGCAAGCGTAACACTGATACACATAAAATAAAAATAGATTTTAAAAAAGCACAATTTTCTTGGAAATTCCTGAAAATACTATTTTCTTCCATGAGTCTACCTGTTCAGTTAAACTGAGAAAAAGTTGGCCATTTTCATTTTTTAGATGCTGCAACTGCTCTGTCTTATCTTGATCTCTCAGAACAAGTGTCTCCATTTCTTTCTCTTGAGTGGATAGCTGAGCCTAAAGCAAAAACAGTGACATAAAAGAAGGAAAACTAATCAGGAATAACATTAAAATTTTAATGTGCAGAAACAAAGATGCTTTCTCTAGCAACTCCCAGCTGGAAAAAATCCTCAGAACTACTTCCACTCCTGCTCTACCATCCTAAGAATCTATGACTCAGCTGAGGAAAATAAGATGCCTCTTTAAAAAGGCCTGTCTTAAAGATAGAGCAGTTCTGCTATGGCTTGACATTCCAGGCTTTTGAATAAGATTCTGCTTGAAAATAGTTTATAATTAAGGTTGGAAAACCATTGGTATAGATTATTGTCATTCACTTTAAGATTAGCTCATGATACATACAAATTAACAAATTATTCAGTTCCTGATCACACAGCTCTGGAAGCAGTGGAAAAGCGGCCCGAAGGCAGAGGCGGAGGCTGCGGATCCACCAAGTGCTTGGGGTGGCGATAGCGGCGAAGTGTCGCAGAGCCACAGTCCACAGCCGCATGTCCAGGCTGTGGGTGGACAAGGGCTCGGAGGACTGAGGACGCGACCTGCCGCTGCCGGGCCACCTAGGGCTACGCCGCCCGCCTGCTTCCTGGCCCTGGACGCCTGCCTGGAGGAGCTGCTTGCCAGGGTGGACGAGTGTGGGCATGCTGGACACAATCCACAGGGACTCCAGTGAGGGTGTGCTGCGCATCCATGCCAAGGCCGCTGAGATGTGGACCAGCTCGAGGCCTTCGTGTGCTTGGTGGGCGGCAGAGTGGCCCGCGTGGTGGAGCAGGTGACCCGGGCCCGAGGCTGAGCTGGGCTCCCTGCCCTCGGGCCTTCGGGAAGCTGCTGCACACCATCAGCGTGCCCACTTCCCTGGCTGCTGCCCCAGCTCTGAGCCCACATCCAGCTGCAGGGGGCTCTGAGCAAGCTCTTGTTAAAGAGCCTAGGAACGGCGTGCATGGTGTCAGAGTGGGACATGTACAAGTTTATCTTCCCAAAGGTCCTTGGTGTCGATCCCTGTGTCTTCCAGATCTGTCTGAAAGCTTTTTGGTAGGGGGTGCTGGGGAAGCCAAATGAATTAATTTATCTGTGCGATAGGGCTGAGCTGTTATTTTTATGGATTTTACTACAACTAACGGTGTTACTGTGTCTAGATTTATATATTTATATGCTCTATCACAAAAGTGACCAAACAATTAAAACCTTGTTATTAAATCCTAACAGTGATTCAGTTTTCTGTAGCCTACTTTTAGGCTAGATGGTACCGTTGTTTAGCATTTATTCAACTTTCCCCAGTGTGGGTTGTAAACCAAAGGAAATAAGACAGTTTCCCAAGGAAAAGTATTAGGTGTTCTGTTGCAGAAGTTCTGAAGTTGTATTCGACAGTATGACTCATAGTCCTAGTTTATTGTAGCAACCATATTTATGATTGTCAACGTTTGGTTTACAGCACTAATTAAAATGATGAATTTCATTGGAAAAAAAACCCAAATTATTCAGTTCCTTGCACATCATTACTATTTGAAATATGTATACATGGGATTACCAATCTAAGACTGAAAAACACATAACCCGTAACTTTAAGTTTGATGCTTTGGAAATGTTCATCTTGATTGTTAACTTTTTAGACTGAAAAGTGCCTAGGAGATTGGCAAAGTACACTTCGGTGGTTGTCTGATATTTCTTTCTTTAAAAAAATTTTTTTTTATGCGTATGAGCCTGCATGTGGGTAGGTACACCAGTGTCATGCAATGCCCAAGGAGGTCAGAAGAGGGCATTGGATCCCCTGGAACTGGAGTTACAGATGGTTGGTTGTTAGCTACCATGTGGGTGCTGGGAACCCAGGTCCTCTGCAAAAGCAGTCAGTGCTCTCAACCACTGAGCCATCTCTCCAGCCCTGTCTGAGGATATTTCTAAGGAGGATACTAAAAGGGAAAGGCCTACCTTGAGAGGCAGCACTGTCCCACAGGTGGGGGGTCAGAGAGAATAAATAGGGAAGGAAGAAAACTAGCTAGCCCAGACACTCTCTGATTCCTGGCTGCCATGATGGGAGCTACTCTGCTCTGCAACACCCTCTCCACCATATGACTAGCATTTTTTGTTTTTTCCTTTTGGTCTTTTTGAGACAGGGTTTCTCTGTAGCCCCAGCTGGCCTGGAACTCACTATGTAGACCAGGCTGACCTTGAACTCAGAGATTCACCTGCCTCTGCCTCCCAAGTGCTGGGATTAAAGGCATGTGCCAACCACACCCAGCAACGACTGGCATTTCTTAAACCATGAGCCCAAATAAATCCTTCCTTCTTCAGGTTTGTGTGTGTGTGTGTGTGTGTGTGTGTGTTTGAGATAGGTCTCCCTGTAGCCCCAGCTGGCCTGGAACTTGCTATGTAGATCAGGCTGGCCTCAAATTCACAGAGATCCACCTGCCTCTGCCTCCTGAGTGCTGGGACTAAAGGTGTTTATCACCACACCCAGCAATCAAGATTTTATATCGGATATTCTGCCACAGCATTAAAAGTCCAATGTCAAAGGTATGTTACTAGGCACATACTACAATGAGATGCATCTTTCTGGACTACTAGATTGAGTGGTGGCAATGCTAAGAAAATATCCTTTGGTGAAGATACAGTATGATCTACCTGAAGCTGATCCACTCTGACTCCCATCTTCTCATTTTCTGAGGATATCTTCTGGTTCTGTTCTTTCAGTCTGTGGAAGCAAAATGACTATGTGAAATATTTACTGATTCGAGGTCAATTACCCCAGGGCATAAGTGATTTAAGACTAGCTTAGCCTAAGCCAACACTTAGTTACCCCCATCATTGCCAGAACAGGAAGTGTTGGGTTTTTTTTTTTGGTCTTTTTGAGACAGGGTCTCCCTGTAGCCCTAGCTGGCCTGGATTCACTATGGAGACCAGGCTGGCCACGAATTCACAGAGATCCACCTGCCTCTGCCTCCCGAGTGCTGGGATTAAAGGCGTGTGCCACCACGCCCGGTTTGGTTTTGTTTTTAGAGAGACAATCTCATGTAACCCAGGCTAGCCTCAAACTCACTGTATGGTTGAGGATAACCTTTAACTCCTGGTCTTCCTGCCCCAACCTCCCAAGTGCTGAGATTAGAGGGGTGTACCACCACACCCAGCTATAACAGGCAGTGATTTCTAACAAATTCCACACATGGGATCTGATCCTATCTAAGTGTGTTTATGACAGAGCTGTTGCTCCATCCAGTAGTGGATGCATACTCACTGAAGAAGTTCAGTCTCCCAACAGGCCTTCTGCTCTTCTACTTTCTGTTCTAGCTTCCTATTGATGATCTGTAGAGTTTCTAGCTCCTCCTGTTGATTGAAACATAATTAAAGGGACAGATCACGTCTAAGAAAACTTTTAGTAACTTAGGCAAAGAAAAAATATTTATAGAGCACTTAGGCATAGCATGATACAACAATGGATGAAATATCTAGGTAAGGAGATTTCCATATTAAAATATTTTGGGTTATAGATATTTATTGTTTTTAAAGTAATGTTTTAAGTCATGCTCTTTCCATACATACACTGTTGTTGTTGCAGGGCTAGAGATCAGACCCAGGGCTTCACGCAAGCCAGGTAAACACTCTACTACTGAGCTACGGCCAGCTTGTTCCTTCCAAACCAAAAATTTCATCTGGCTGGGTGTGGTGGCACTTGCTTGCAATCCCAGCATTTGTGAGGCTGAGGCAGGAGAATTTTGGGTTCAGGCCAGCCAAGACTATACAGTAAGACCCTACCTGAAAAAAAAAAAAAAAGTATCTACCTTAATTTCACTGTTACAAGAGATTATATTTGTCCATTAATGTATTATGGACAAGTATTTATTGAGTGGCTATTACACATCAGACACTGTTATCCAGTGGATAAAAACAAAGTCACTTGTTAGTGCTATCCTATAAACTGACGAGTCTCATATATAATTTTTAAAAATTTAGCAGCCATACTGGGTGTGGTGACACACACCTTTAATCCCAGCATTCCGGAGGCAGAGGCAGGTGGATCTCTATGAGACCAAGGCCAGCCTGGTCTATATAGCACAATCCAGGCAGCTAGGGCTAGAGGGAGACCCTGTCTCACAAAACAAAACAAAACAAAACAAAAAAGACAGGGTGTAAGGAGGGAGATCACAAGCAAGACAGAAAATTGTGCTCGTCAGAGACACCATGTGATTTTGATCTATGTGCTCCAAGGTCACACCTGCTTCCTCTGGAGCTCAGCTTGTATGTCGGAGTTCTGCTTCTGGAGGCTGGCACAGCTGTCTTTCAGCTCCTGGTTTTCTCTGCAAAGCTCCTGGTTGTGCTGCTCAATCTCTTCTACCTTTCCCTACAAAAGAGCATTGCATGAATTATATCAAGTCCTTCTAGTAGAAAATCCCCATACACTGGTCTGGTGAGCACCCAAATGATTCCCACTCATTGGAGTGACATTAGTGTATCCCAATGAGAGCAGCTACTCAGTATATAGGTAAGAAGGCAAAAAAGGTATGTCTGTATAATTGCAGCATTAAGTTTGCCATTACCACGAATGAAAGACAGGAAAAATTAAGGCCATACTACAAGGGGGAGACTGGACATAGTGGTACATTCTTGTAATCTCAGCACTCAAGGGCTCTGAATTCCAGGTCAACCTGGGTCACAGTGTAAGACTCTGTTTAAAATTTTTTTAATTAGTTGGTAAAGTTAAGGGAATGACTGAATGGCTACAGAAGTTCTAAAGAGAGAAATCGCTTATTGTTTTGCCTCTTCTGAATATTCCTAAGTCATTCCCAAGTGGGTTGGAGTAGCTGCTATTTGATTTTTCCCAACAGTATATATCTCTTAACTATTCCATAAAGTCTATTGACTCAACTTCCATCCTAACCTGAAACTGCTATGCTGAATGACAGGAAGGCTTGGGACGGGATGATTACAGACCTTAGTGGTAACCACCACGATGTCCTCCTCACTTTCTGGACGGAACTGGAAAGGAATACTTGCTCCCCGGACCATACCATCTTGATCCACATAGCAGAACTGGTAATACTCATCATCCTTGGGCAGGTAGTAGGCTAAAAATGGAACACGATTTTTAATTCAAAATAAGGTATATTCCAAATTTATAAAATCTGGAAGTTTTTTTTAATCTGCCCCAGAAAACCCAAGGGGAATAAATTAGTCTTGGCTAGAGCTTCCAACACTTGATTGTTTTCCTCACCTTTGAACTGGACTTCATGCTGTTTGGCTGACTCCTTGTTTGGGTCACCCGGCAAAGTGACCCACATGAAGGTGTAATACTCCTGGGTGGTCTTCCACCCCACCTGCAAGGGACAGGAAGCTCTGAGTCAGCAGACAAGACTCAGCAAAAGCCTTATTTGAGCTATGATTTCTTAAAATACTTTTACATTTTATTTGTATACATTGAAAATATATGGGGCTGGAGAGATGGCTCAGTGGTTAAGAACACTGGTTGTTCTTGCAGAAGAGCCGGGTTCGAATCCCAGCACCCATATGTCAGCTAACAACTGTCTGTAACTCCAGTCCCAGGGGATCCGACAGTCTCTTCTGACCTCCTCGGGCATTGCACGATACAGGTGCACTTACCTACATGCAGGCAATACATGCATACACATAAAATAAAAATAAAAATAATTTAAAAAAGAAAATATAATAAATTCATTATGGCAATATTCACATGGTTTTTACTTGTGGCCAGTATATGGGAAGATATCTAATACAACTAAAATTTGAGGTATGCATACAGCTCAAAATGCCAGTTAAGGAGGAAATAAAAGCTGGCTCTTCAATGGCCAGTATGAAAGCTCCAAATTTCATCTCCAGGTTCTCATGCATGCATGGTAGTTCATGCCTATAACTATAGCACTTGAGAAGCTGAGGCAAGAGGATTGCTGTGAGTTTGAGGCCAGCTGGGGCTACACAGTGAGTTCTAGGCAGGCTTGAGCTGCAGTGTGAGACCATATTGCCAAAAACAAACAAACAAACAAACAAAATGTATATCTAAATCAACAGAGCACAGAACTGGTGAAATGTTTTGAGAGGATCCAGTCATAATGGTTCATGCCCATAATTCCAGCTGCCTGGGAGGCCCAGGTGGGAGGATTGTGAGTTTGAGGCCAGCCTGGCCTAATAGCAAACTCTGATTCAGAGAGATCCTGTCTGAAGGGAATAAGACAGAGTGGCAGAGTAGGATGCCCAACATCCTCCTCTGACCTCCACTCACACACACATACACAAACCTGTGTACATATGTCCCCCACATGTAAAATAATTAATTAGTTAAATAAATAAAAATAAGATGAAGCAGGATTGAGGAAGGCACATTATATAGACTTCTGGGCTCCATATGTACATACACATATGCATACATGAATACACACACAAATTATTTGATTAAAAATAATAAAAAACAAGTTCTAGGATTGCAAACCTTGACTTTGCTCCCTTCTAACGATGTTCTCAAAACTCTGAAATCAGGGGCCAGTGAATGGCTCAACCTGATGACCTGAGTTTGATACTCAGTACCACATGGTGGGAGAGAAGCAATTCCCAAAAGGTGTCCTCTGACCATGCATGCCATGGCATGTGAGACACTCTCCTCATACAAATGAATAAATGTAATAAGAAAAAAAAGTTAAAGACCTTACACTGGACATACTATAAAAAAAACATTCTAGATGAGGGGTTGAGGGGGTAGGGGAGTATGGGCAGGGAAAGTGGGGAGTGATGGGGAGCTGGAGTGGGAGTGAGTGGTGCACACCTTTGAATCCCAGTGGGAGGCAGAAACGGGAGATCTCTGTGACCTACATAGAGGCTAGCCTGGTCTACATAGCAAATTCCAGGTCAGCCAAGGCTGCAAAGTGACACTCTGTCTCAAGAAACAGAAACAAAAAACCTTATAAATCAGAAAGTAGTTATGATGTGTTCTCTCTACTATGTCCAATTCAGACCTGTCATGTACCAATCTGATTATAATTGTGAAATTTATTTTGTTTTCTTTTAATATTTTATTATTTTTATTTTATGTGTATGCATGTATTGCCTGCATATAGGTGAGTGTACCCGTGACATGCAATGCCCACGGAAGACAGAAGAGGCTGTCAGATCCCCTGGAACTGGAGTTACTGCCATGTGAGTGCTGAGATTCAAACCCTGGTCTTCTGTAAGAACAGTCAGTGTTCTTAACTGCTGAGCCATCTTTCCAGCCCCTATTTTTTTTTTAAGGCAGGATCTTATATAACCAAGACTGACCTTGAACTTCTTATCCTCCTGCCTGTTGGGGACCCCTGCTGTTTTGGGTTGTAGTCTCTCCATGTCTGGATAGCCGCAAGCCGGCTCGGTGCAAATGGAAGGACTCCCTTTCTCATGCTGCCAAGCATGGATGCCTGACCTTATTTGGAACATGACCTTTGGCATAGTTACCTGGAGTAAAAACTACCCCCAGGGTTTTTCTATATGATAATCAGGCATTGCCTGATAGTCTGGAAGATAGGAGCCCACTGCTACATGTAAATAAAGCATACTATGGGAACCTATCAACTAAGGTTTTTGCTACTGCCTCCACACTATAAATATCCTGGTTTCCCCCTAATAAATCGGAGCTGTACCACTGAGTCTGACTGAGCTGTATCCTGTGTCTTACTGCCTACGATTCAGTCTCCGCGGAGGGGGCTGTCCCTTCATAAACAACCACTCGAAGATCTTGCTTTCGCTGTTCTTGCACCTCCCCTTGTGATCCGGTGGCCGGCGGATCGCGTACACAGAGGGAGCGGCGGCAGCTTGGAACGGAACCGCCCAGGCAGCTGACAGCAGCCGGCAGAGCCCCCACCTCCGGGTAGCTGCGGAGAGCCAGGCACCTGCACAGCAGGGACCCGCCCCAGCGGCGTGCTAGAGACCGGCGCCACGCCAGCAGCTGGCGCTCCGAGATCCCCGTGCGCCCACACCTGCCTCCATCTCCCAAGTGCTCAGATTACAGGATGTTCTACCACACCAGGTTTATTATCATTATTATTATTATTATTATTATTATTATTATTATTATTTTGGTAAAATAGCCCCAGCTGGCCTGGAACTATGTAGACCAACTGCTGGCCTGGAACTCACAGAGATCCACCTGCCTCTGCCTCCTGAGTGCTGGGACTAACTCAGATTAAAGGCATGAGCCACCAAACCTGGCTTCATTTATTATTGTTATTATTTTTAAACATTTTATTATTTTTATTTTATGTGCATGAGTGTATCGCCTGCATGTGTGTAAGTGCACTGGTGTCATGCAATGCCCAAGAGGTCAGGAGAGGGAATTGTTAGCCACCATGTGAGTGCTGGAGCAGCCAGTGCTCTTAACTGCTGAACCATCTCTCCAGTCCCTCATTTATTAATTTTGTTTTTGTTTTTGAGACAGGGTCTTCCTGTAACCCCAGCTGGCCTGGAACTTTCTATGTAGACCAGGCTGGCCTCAAACTCACAGAGATCCGCTTGCCTCTGCCTCCCAAGTGCTGGGGTTAAAGGAGTGTGCCACCAGGCCTGGCTTCTCATTTATTATTTTTTGAGACAGAATCCCACTACATAGCTTAGGCTGGCATCTAACTTGCTATCTTCCTGCCTCCAATTCCTCAGTGCTGAGATTGAAGGCAAGCAGCACTATACCCCATTCTTTACTACTAAATTTTAAAGTGTATTAAATTATTTGTCTTGAAGGCAAAAAGGCAAAGGTTTCTAGATTGGGAGGCACCAGATGACAGAGTTCAGTCTATAAGAAGTTTCCCTTCAGTGGTTTTTCTTTTCTTTTGGGGGGGTTGGTGGTGATGGAAAGCTCATAGAGACAGGGTCTCACTGTGTAGCCCCAGCTGGCCTCAAATTTGCAATCTTCCTGCCTCAGCCTACTGAGTGCTGAGATCACAGGCATGTGTCACCATGCCAGGACATGCCTTAATGCATGCTTAATGAAGGCTTTTGGGTGATAAAAAAAAAAAATCTGCTAGTTGTAATGGCCTCTTCTGGGTATTAAATACAATAAATCATACACGTAAGGATACAGCAAAAGAAGCCCCAGAGCAGAAAGCTGGCTAAGTGGAAAATATTTTCACTAAATGTGAAGATGGAGGTAAAAGATAGCTCAAATCTCATCTAGAAGATAAAAGGGAACCATTATGTCTTCGTGAGGCAAACATAGAGCAAATGAGAAGCAAAATTACATTTATTGCCATATTTTGACCCTGTCTGAGCCCAGTGGGAAGGGGAAGACCTAAAAATAATTTTCACTTTTATATAAGGAATAAGATCAGGGTTGGAAAGGTCACACCCAAGTCATCAGAAAATACCAGAACATATTTTAGAGCCTCATTAACACATACTCTATTGCTGTAAGTATCTCAGAGCCACTGAAGCCTGCGGAAGCAGGAAGCAGGAATTTTATGGAGTCCTCATTCACATCCTGGAGTTTCTTAAATACACTGTGACCAAAATACCACTGTGAAGGACTAGGAATTACTGCTGCCTTAGAACAAGGAAACAACTTCCAGCCACTTGCAATTTCTTTTTTAAAAATATTTTATATTTCATTCTATGTGTATGAGTGCACTGCCTGCAAGTATGTAAGTGCACTCTTGTTATGCAGAACCCACAGAGGTCAGAAGAAGGCATTGGATCCCCTGGAACTGGAGTTATAGAAGGTTGTTAGCCACCATGATGGGAATTGAACCAGGGTCTTCTGCATGAGCAGCCAGTGCTCTTAACCTCTGAGCTAACTCTCCAGCCCCAACCCACCTGTAATTTCTACCTTTGAATATCCTTGAATCCCCAACTTGAGTAGTCTGAGTCTCAGTCTGCTTGTGACATGCTAATTCCTCACTTTGAAATTTTGGAAACATGTAAAACCCCAAGTTTAGGACAGTACATGGCACAGGATAGATTATACACTGCAGGAAGGAAAGAAGCTGACTTCTACCTGCTTTAGGCTCTGTCACTGGTGGTGGCTGTCACTACATCTAGAAAAGGTAACACTGCATTATTAAACATTTGAAGCTCAGCATGGTAGCTCATGGCTATCATCCCAGCACTTAGGAGGCTGAAGCAGGAAGATCAGGAATTCAAGGTCATTCTCAGTTAAATATAGTAGACTGGGTTAAATGAGACCCTGTCTCAAAAACAGAAACAAAAAACTAATTTGCAGCATTCTCACTTGGTGCAGGGACTACTGGTATTAGGGATGTACCGAAGACAACTTTAGAAGTAAGATAAGAACAAAACTTTACAGTTGGGGCTGGAAAGATGGCTCAGCAGTTAAGAACACTGGCTGCTCCTT